GCATATGGGGATTTGTTCAGATGTACAGATGGCAAGAAGCTAGCAGATAAAATGTATGTATTCACTGGCCATTAGACATGTGCGATTCGGTTCGTTCCGAAATTCGTTTTGGACGAATTTTCGGAAATTCGGAGATTCGGATGCATCCGAATTCCGAATTACAGCTAAGACGAATGCAAACGAACCCGATCTTATTTCAGCAAACTGCAGGTTCTGCCTGCTGCCTTTTGTATTGGAACTTCACATGGATTCCACTCACTTCCTTGCCACCTCATACGTGCTGAGTGGAATGGTCTTCTGCTTACCACTAGAAATAGACATGATCCAATAACATGAGTGGAAAATTCAATTTCTGGGGGTTTTCTGTTTACTGTAGGTGTATAGAGCATACAAGGAAGTCATTTTCTGCTAGTTTTAAAAGATCATAACTTGCTGAAAATAAATATCCTTTACTTTATGTTACCCAGGAGAAACTATTGCATAAACATTTTTACTTAAAACACTCCACGCAAACCTGTACATTTTTCATACTACTGACATGACTACTTATGCCTATATTTGTTTTTTTTCCTCAGAAACCAGAGCGTGATGAGTGGGGTAACACCCTGGATGCCATGCAGGCTGCTTTGCAGCTGGAGAAGACTGTGAACCATGCTCTTCTGGACCTGCACAAGCTAGCCACTGACAAAGTTGACCCTCATGTAAGTATCTGCTTCACATCCTTAGGCTTAAATTCAATTACTGCATACATTCCATCATCTTCAATCAATTGCAGGTAAAACGTACAGAAAAAAAATACTCCTTACATCTTAATTCATTGTTTTGGTTCCTTACAACCATTTTCAAGTCCAAATGTGGAAATTGCTGTACCACTTATCTGTTCTTGTTTTAAAATGATGGACTATATTAAATAAAGAGCCATATTTGCATCTAAAGTTTTCTGTGCTGACCTTTTTAGACTAGACTTGAACGTGCCCTGGAGGTGACGGAGGGGTTGGGATGATACACCGTAGAGCAGCCAAAGAGTGGTCTATAAATACATATGACAATAGAGATGTGATTTTTTTTTAACTGGAATTATCAAGCAATGCAGAAAGTCATTTTGTGAGCAGAAAATATAGGCTAACCTGAGCACTACGAACAAATTACATTAGTGACTCTTTGAGCATCAGTCAACATAATGACTGTCTCCTTTGTGCACAGCTAGCTTGAGAACATATTTCCCAGACTACAAAACTTTATGTTACACAGAAAGGATTAAATATATTATAGTACATTATATACATATGGCATACATGCGTGACTTTGTTTTATACTCTATAGTCATTTTAGCATAAAAATGATTGCATGGGACATAAATATAGAAATCAGAGGAATAGGAGAATTGAGGTGTTTCCCAAAGCAAAACCAATATGATTGATTTAATAGAATAAAATAAGTCAAGCTTGCTGAACTAAAGTTTAAATTTATACTGTAAAGTGACAGCTGTAATCTTCCCAGGAATGGATACCCTTTGTTATCCCACAATAAGAGATATACAATACTGTATAAAACACTTCTATGACTTCTGCGCTCATATGTTGTATTAAAGTGTCCAGAAAGAATAGATGACGAACTGATTTTCAAACTTATATACCACGTTTGGTGGTATATAAATCAGTCTGAAAAACTGTTTGACATTTATTAGTCATCATGGACACCTGTACAACAAACTGATGATTTGTTTAATCTTGCAATCTGCATCGTTTAAAGGACAATTGAAATCTAAATGGTAAATCACAGAATGGTAAATCATATCAATATGGCAAATCACAGAACATGATACTGGAACTATAAGTAGTTTAATTGGTGCAGAAGGAGGAAAGAAGCAATGTTCAACAATTTATATATATTATCTTATATGTTATGTTTCCTTGCAGTCTGAGTGCCTTGAATGCATGACTAAATTCTGAAACTTGTTTTTCAGCTGTGTGACTTCTTGGAATCTCAATATCTGGAGGAACAAGTGAAGGATATTAAGCGTTTTGGAGATTACATCACCAACCTGAAGCGCCTTGGGGTGCCCCAGAATGGCATGGGCGAGTACCTGTTTGACAAGCATAGCCTGGAAGAGAGCAGCTAAGCTGTGTGCCACCCATGAGGATCCAACCACTCTACTTTCCATCTATATTCCTTTTACTATCTGTGTGACATGTATTCCTGAGGGTCTTACATTTTCTGTGATCCTATAATAATATAGCTGTAGCTGTGCTTGTCAGCAAGTTTCTAATAAAGTCTTTCAGCATGTATATTTATTTTAGTTGGTGTTTATAGATCTTGCAAGAGTAATACTGAATATACCTAGTTTTTCTATCCTTTGGTTGTATGAGAGGTTTTACCATTATTTTTATGAATTTAATGTCTTGCTTGTGCAGCTGCTACTTGGAAATGTGTGGTGTCATTAAGCTCTCAGTTCTGTTTTGCCCAGCTGTATCCTATTAAATGTATAGGAGACAATGCCATTCCCATTGCCTGAGCCCATATAGTTATTAACATAAACATTTTGGGAATAGCCCACGTTGCCACTTCATCCAAATATTTCTGTAATATGCCATCATATGTTGAGTTTTGTCTGTGCCATAATGCCCAACTCTTTTATTGTACTCCTGTGAGTTTTGTTTCACAGCTTTGTTTACCTCCATTGTTGCAATAATCTGTCCTGGCTGACCTTTCTAGTGATGTTCCATAGAAATAAATGGAACCATCTCAGGAGTGTCTCCAGTCTCATGTGACAGCCAGTTCATTCTGCAGAGTGGCAGTGGGCATCCTCACAACATTTCCAGCTATGTAATTTTAGGGCTAAATATCTTCCATTCTCAGAATCTCCTTCCAACGTTTATATATATATTTAAGGATATATGTTGAAACCTACTGTAATGTACTACCATTTATGGAAGTTAGGTCTAGAGGCACTTTAAAGTAAACCTGTTCTGAGAGAAATACAGAGGCTGCCATTGCCATTTTCTGGCTGCTCCTCGGTTCCAAATGTTCGAGTCACTGAAATCAACTTGAACTTCTGATCTGGATACTTGTGCTGGGTCAGTGTCTTAGCTTACTAAGTGATTGGCTTGATCTCCTACTGATGTCACTCAGCAGGGACAGAGACAGTGGTTTCAGCAGTGGCTCTTATCTTCTGTGGCTCTACCAGACACAAACATCTGCTTCAGCTACCTGCTTCACCACATATAAATAACCAGGAACACCAATAATAATTAGTATAATTATGGGGAGAGTGGAAACACACTCTTTCCTATATTTAGAGCCGATGTGTGACATTGAAGCTGTCACACATTGGCTCTATAGAACGGGAAATAATTTCCTGATCTTCTTCCTGGAAAGAGCGGTGACTGTCAGTCACTGTTCCCCATAGGAATTCCCCCTCCCCTCTCTGTTCCTCCCTCACTGACTGGAGTGACTGATGGGGATGGGACGGGCACAGCTAGCTCTAGAGAGGCAGAGCCAGCTGTCAATCAGCCAGCGGGATGGATCCAGACAATATTTCTACCAGACCTAAAGGTTGTATGAATTGAGAGGGCGACCCCATACAGTTTTCTTTTTGCTTCGGCAGATCATTCTCCCCCCGCTGCTGCTGTGTGTTCGGCTCAGCCGAGCCGAAGCATATGCATGCGGCTCGGCTGAGCTGTTCGGGCGATTGTGAAGGGCCAATACAGCAGACCTTCAGTTCGGCAGAATCGAAGGGCTTCGGCGGCTGAAGTGAGCCGAAGGATTAGCTGAAGCTTCGGCTTAATCCTTTTAGTGAATAACACCCTCTTTAGTGAATAACACCCTAAGTGCCAAAATATTATTAAATATAAAGTGTCCTTAGTTATGAATAATTCCATTTCAAATACAAAAGTGACCACGTGATCTTTCACCAAACACGTCCTCCTCTGTGCCATCCTGACCCTATTGGCAAGCAACTAACCCGCTGCCGTATGACATTTTAAATAAGATCTTACTGCGATGGATAGTATCCCAAACAATATGGAGAGAACTCTGGACCTCCTCCTTAGTGCTTCCACACAATCAACCATCCAGTCTGCAGAGTGAAAAGAGGGACTCATGGAATAAAAAGACCTTTATTTTTTAAATGATAAAAACAAATGTACTCACGAATAAAGTACTCTAAACCCACACTATGTATTATGGGTTCAATCCAGTACCAGGTTCCCCACCTTCAGGAGGTGGGGAGTTCAAACTCACAGAACGTATTGGTTTACTGTACTGTATGATATAGTGTATGAGTGGAGGGTTTCAGGTTCATAGTTTAATTTAGCGCCCTATATTTGTGGTGTTTTGGATATCTTCAAAATTTTTATACAACAGCTGGTAGTAGTTTATGCATTTTAGGGTAAGTGCAGAAATCTGGCATAGTATTTGACCCTTTTCTAGGGCCGCCAAAAGGGGGATACTGCTTGCCCTTCTGTAACGGGTTCAGACCCCATCGGGTCAGCAGGGGGACCGAGGCCCGGCTTGGAAACAGGCAGCAGAGCTGCCGCCTACAGCTCCTAACACTGTTCTGGAGCCAGCTGCATGCTCCAATCTCTGTCCCCTCCGATCCCCACTGCTCTCCCCTGCCTGTATCCGCAGAGACAGCAGGGATTGGAGGGGAGACAGAGCTTGGCAGCCGCTGCCCAGCGGGGAGGACCTGCTGTCAGGAGGCAGAGCAGTCAGGATTTAGAGCAGAGGATGGGTTAAAATGTGAAATATCTACCTATGCTTCCCTTATCACCGAGTGATCAGTATTCATCACTCGGTGTTTGTAAATAACTGAGGACATAGTGATTACTATGCTCCCAGTTATGAAGGAACAGGAAGTGCTCTAATCATCACATACTATGTGCTCAGTTTATGAATGAACAGGAGCACTCAGGACAGAGGCTTCCTGTCCATTCATAACTGGGGAGAGACTATGCATCCTCAGTTTGTGATTGGACAGGAAGCCACTGTACTAAGTGCTTCCTGTTCATTCAGTGCTGGGGCTGCACAAAAGGAAATTAAGCACTCTGTGTCCACAATCTCCTTTTCCATTTTAAAAGGGAAATAACGGGTCGGTTTACATCCCTAATGTTTCCCCAAAGGCTGCCGAAAGAAAAGTAAAGAATAATTAAGAAAAATAATTAAGAAAAAAAAAATAGTAAAACACAATTACACCCAAACACAGTGTAACTGTGTGCACCATATTGCAGCATACATTACGCACATGCACTGCGTAGTTAGAACACATGGGTGTGCTTGATTTAACAACAAAAAATTCAACTGCGTGGCAGCACATTCCAAAATGATTAAATGTATGCCTGCATCATTTTTTTTTTTTTTTAACACACGTTTTTTACAGTTCTGCCTACCATTTTGCAAAAAGGCTATCTAAAATGTACAAATACTGTATTTGTTATTAACGCAATACAGTTTTATCTTTTAGATTTAGTAGGAATCTTGTTAATCGTGGGGGGGTTTTAGTGCGCTGATAATGATTTTAGTGTATTTTGATAAACATTTGAGCAACTGTAGTGGGACCTAGTAGCCCCAATGCTACTGAACCTATGCTTTCAGAACATGTATGGTTTGGGGATCTTTCACAAAGTGTCTGGAAAGCTGAGGTCAAAAGTGGAACGCAAAGCCTGGCAGCAAAAGGGTTAAATATAACTGCTCATATATTTGTTGTGTACAGTCCGTAATAAATCTCAGTATAAATACCTGTTTCTAAGGGATTGTGTGCTTTATTTTTGCAGATCACACTGGACCGGAACACAGGCACTAATGTGCTTGGGTGGCTGCAGTGCCATTGACTTCAATGCATCGCCACGCCCCCCTCCCGCCCCTAAACGCAGGGAGCTGGTGTTCTATCAAAGTTTGTGACTAGGTTGGAATGTGTGACCAGTCACATGGTCACACATATTAAAGTAATCCCCCCCAGTTTCTCAGCGGTGGAATGTGTGACCGCCAATAGGCAAGAATTCCAACGCTTTGTCAGCTGTTCCAGGGCAGATCGGCATCGCAGATCGTATGTGCAGGAAAACTGATCTGCCCAGTAACAGCTGACCGGTCCTGAAATATCACTTCTGTAGGACTGTGTGGAATGGGAGATCGCACTCACAAAGTCAGGTAGAAGTTCCAAAGGCTGAACGCTCTGGAACGCAGACTTTGTGGTGTGAACCGGCCCTCTCTCTCACCTAGCTCTCTGCTCTTTCTCTACTAGCTCTCTGCTGTCTCTCTTCTCTCCTAGCTCTCTGCTGTCTCTCTTCTCTCTCCTAGCTCTCTGCTGTCTCTCTTCTCTCTCTCCTAGCTCTCTGCTGTCTCCAGGGCCGGTGCTAGGATTGTAGTCAAGGTGGGCAAGGTGCATCTCTCTCTCTCTCTCTCTCTCTCTCTCTCTCTCTCTCCAAGCTCTCTGCTGTCTCTCCTCTCTTCTAGCTCTCTGCTGTCTCCCTTTTCTCTCTCTGCTGTCTCTCTTCTGGCTGTCTTTTCCTACCTGGACTCCAGCAGCTTTCTGGCTCTCCTCTGAGGTGCGGTGTCCTGTCCTCGTGCAGTGCTTGTGTGGCCGAATGTGCAGACTGGGAGAGGTGTCCCGCCCCTTCCCGTCTGCAGCTTCTGACTAATTCAGCAGGTCGAGCACCGTGGGAGGACAGGGGTCAGTGAGCCTATCGCGATCTACCAGTGTTCGCTTTGCGATTTACTGGTAGATCGCGATCGACCTAATGGGCACCCCTGGCTTAGAAGTATGACTTCACTGCTTGGTGGAGCTACATGACACCTTGTAAAAAAAAACAAAATCGGTCTGTACATTGCAATTTGGTGCAGTGTGGCAAATACCAGAGCAGTGGAGAGGAAGCATATAAAAAAGAAGGGTTTATCTCCCCCCCATCCCCATTTGGTTTGGCCCGCCTTCTGTGGCCTGCCTACCCTGTTACCTGTCCATTTTGCACACATGTAAAAATTGACATTTTAGGACTGAATTACTAGAAACCAGAGACCATGTAGAATAAAATAGAAATTAAGGGGGCATATAATTGGGGAAAGGAAGGTTTAGTGAAAAAGCAAGTGTTCTGAAGGAGGGTCCCCTACTGTTCTAAATTTAACAAGCATATAGTTTTTCCCTGAAGAGGGG